AGTCTCAACAATTGCTGCTATATCCGACCAAGAGATAAAGCTCTCCCAGTATCTCTCATTTGTAAGGATACCCAGCGTGCTTCTTCTCCCACTTTGTTAAATAAAAAGCCACTTCAAGTGGGCTCAACGTAAAGGATTCGAAAGACACCTGATTTGGAAGAAATGAAACAAGCACCGAGTGATGATTGTGAGGATAAGGTTGTTGATGACAAAAGCATGCGAGAGTCGCTGCTCCTTGACAAACTTGATAATTATGATAAGTTGATGATGATGTTTCTACACCAATAAGGACTAATGGGTGAAAGATACTTATGAAAATGGTGGTCAAAGAAATGAAGCCAAGGAAACTGATGCCTTGGTGCTTGTGTGATCTTTGAACTCATTATCAGTGTTTAGTTTTGTATATAGAGAGATGAGTGCAAATGTCTGCACCTAAGTTGGATTTTTTTTAGAAAATATAACTAAGTTGGATGAAACCACAGATAATGTAAAGAACTGAGAAGTTAAACGTGTCAAAATGAAGCCTAGCATTTGTCTTCCCTATAAGAAAAGTGAAATGACTTCAAATGCAAAATAGGTGGATACAAATGAAACTTTTAGTCATTGGTGTTAGACTATGTGAAAAAATGTTTTATCAGTACAGTACATCATGACAAAAGTGGAACCTAGGATGAAACATAACATTAAATGATGTAATAAATCTAATCCCTCATGGAACTACTAGTGTAAGCTACTATCTTTGTTCTGCTTCATTCCAAAACCTTAGTTTTGGATATTGTGAATTTCACATAACTCATGGTCAAACAAAATAATTATTTTGGAAGTGGTAATTGTCTTCTTTATCTCTTCCAAGATTAAAATAACTGAAGTTATGGGAAGTATCAGTCACTGCAAACCCAACTATTTTAGCACTGGTTTGCAAGTTTTTACTTTTGAGTTATAAGAAATTAAGTTTTATTTGCGATCTATATATGGTTATTAGTTTTTGGTGCAATATGATTTCATTGCAATGAGCCTTTTAAGTAAAAAAAGGAAGAGCTCTTCTAGAGTGATGCCTTTGTTGTCCATATCATTGTAGAGACTACATTCACACCCAATCAGTTATTTGAATGAAACCAGCTGCGGGGCATTATATTGTTTAATCATCTCAACATAAAAAATCAAAATTTAATTCCATTGAATAGAGGAAAAATACATTTCATTATTTTCATAAACCAAAATGGAAAATAAGGCAACAAATTGAACAGAAAACATGAGCAAGTAGCGCAATATGCAATGAATATTTAAGAAGTTAAGAAGTTTTAAGGAGAGACAAAAGTAATTAATAAAAGAGAAACTTAACGTACCTTCGACTTACATCATCATGTTTTGCTCGGGTATGAAAGGTTCCCGCTTCCGCATGTCTTGGCTTACCATACCTTCGACTTTCAGGCGCCGTGGCTGCTACCGTATACAAAGGATGAAGACGCTTTTGGGGCCTGCAAGTGATTTACGGAGTATCTGTTTAGTGTTTACTATTTTTGTTGCACTTTAATAAATACTACCTCCGGCCCCCTAAGTTTGGGACAAGAGAAGGTTGCATGGTTTTTAATAAAAGTGAGTTTATGTGGTTGATATTGAATTGATAAAGTAAGAATAAAGTAGGAATGATTTAGAACCACACAAACTTTACCAAATAAGGTATGTGACAATCTTAGTGGGACGGACCGAAATGGTAAAATGGAACAATCATAGCGGGACGGAGGGAGTATCTAATTGTATAAGGATCCATTTGTAATTTTCATATTTTTTTAAATGATTAAATGATGTCGATTGGATACCAAATAGAGTTGTGCCACGCCATGGACGCATTGAAACATCCTCTCATGTTGAGGTACCGAAGAGCTCTCCATAGTCGTTACCCACACATATATTAAGTGTTACGATGTGTGGGTAAAAGTCTGTTGGTAAAAGTTATTGCCAACACATAAATTACGTGTAGGAAATTGTAGTATTTATATCTACACATATGTGTAGGTAAAACATTATTAAATGTGTTACTATTGATAATCCGAGAGGTGATATTGTGACGTGGCTGCTGACAAGGAAATCCACATGGCTGGTGACGTGGCATGTGACATCAAAATCCGAGTGTGTCGTGTATGCTAACGTGTCATATTTGCTATGTCTTGAACACTGCCACGTGGTCATACAAGTTGTGTGGGTAAAAGTAATTTGTATGTGTGGGTAAAGATAAATTTGTGAATGTATATTAATCTTTCACTAAATATTACCGAGTATATATATTTATTTATATATCTGTTAATGTACTTATTAAATAACACATTTATTGTAATTAAAGTGAACATTGGAATGTATAATAAACAATAAAGATAAATGTTATCGTTGAAACTAAAATATTCAAATCCAACGGATCCAATGCAAACATAGTTAAATATAATCTTAAACCATAACTACTGCAACATTAAGAAATGTTTACTAAGTCTAATATAAATGTAACTTCTACGCAATATCATCATATTTAGAAGTAGAGTCCTCATAACCGTCAACATGTTGCCTCGACCGGCAGATGATGAGCCACGATTAAGAAGTCCCGAACCACGTTTTAATGCCAATAAATGAGTTGAACGTCTCAATATATCTACTGTCTAGCACCAGTATCCAACCCAAAACCGCGACCTGCTGTATCTTTTAGAATCATCGTTAGAAGTATATTCTTTACATGATTCAACATTCTTCACAACTTTATTCTGTAAAAAACAAGAAAAAGTAAAGGTACAACTATATAGTGCCATCTGGGGTATAAGTTATAAACTTAATAAAAAAGAGATACATAAAAAAGGAAACTAGTAACAAATTTTAACATTAGACAAATTAAATGGTTACAAAAGTTGACATACTTAAAGCCTGCATTTAGACTTGTAAACTTAAGTAGTGCTTATAGTAATTACGTAGTATTTTGAGTTAGTTCAGAATCAATTTTAAGAAGCATAATACACAACATTATTTATAAAAACAACTACTAGGATTTTATTAATAAGAAGAGTTTTACAAAAGAGAAATTAATAAAAAAACATGGATAACAAAAACAAAACAGATCAAATCAACAAACTAAAAAATAAAAATCTAAACGAAGGGAACCCAAAAGGGAGCCCAAAGAAGTAAATCCAATAAGCCGCATTACTAATATAATCAATAAAGTCATTAGTATATCATTCCTAAGTTTTTTATTTCAAAATAAATGCAACAGAGTATTTCAAGCTGGGAAAGGGGCGAGACTTTGTATAAACTTTGGGGATACTTTAAAATCTATTATTAAAGAAAGGGAAAACTTTGAAATAAGCCCCCGTACTATGTTGAAAAAGTCGATTAGGCCCCCGTACTTTACAAACACTCAATTAAGTCCTCGAACTATTAAAAACGTTCAATTAAGCCCTTTTGGTCGGTAAGTAATCGGTTTCCCGCTTAAATGGCGACGACGGCGACGATGTGCTCGAACCGCAGCAACGGCAGCTGCCGGGAAACGGGTTACATTTAACCGGGAAACCGGTTACTTACCGATCAAAAGGGCTTAATTGAACGTTTTTTAATAGTTCGAGGACTTAATTGAGTGTTTGTAAAGTACGAGGGTCTAATTGACTTTTTCGGTATAGTACGTGGGCTTATTTGATAGTTTTCCCTTAAAGAAAATATTATAAAATCTCATTTAACAGACCGAGTCCGAAATACTTCGTATACTATTAACTTTGAATCTTGGACCTATTACAATTAGAACCTTGTGATATTGCTGTAATCTTCCCACGGCCCTCATCTAGAAAAGCACCTGCAGTAACATTCGAAGAAAGATGAGAAAAGCGTCAGGCATTATACTATTATGAAATAGTCACATAAGGTTATGTACTCAATAAAGTGTCATATAAGTACATCTACTTGTAAAAAAACAATCAAATGAGTCCTACGATCTATTTACAACCTCCTAATCCCGATTTTAGCTTACATGTCGATTTTTTTGACTTGTATTTCAACCAATCTTAGTTAAATATTTGACGTATGACGTATAATCTATTCTAAAAAGATGGTCAGAAGTACGGTAAAATCGGGATTAAGAGGCGTTAAATAGGTCATTAGAACCCATTTGATTGTTTTTTACATGACCCACTATTTCATAATAGTGGAAGGTCTTATTTGACCCTTTTCTCAAGAAAGATAGTTCAATTTGGGCTTTATGTCATATAAGAGTTATGGAACCAAATCTCCTCAAAAGTCAAATAAAAGACCGGGGGAAGACTGGTTATGGTAACCCTTCTTTCATACCGTAGATTTTATTGGATCTGAATACTTAAAAAGATTGTAGGTTTCTTTTTCTTTTTCTTTTTTTTCTTTTTTATTTTAACTCCAGGGGTCTGGAATGCTTGGTTAAAGATTGTAGGTTTCTACCAAAGAACAATACTGAAATTTCACAAGCGAATCACACTGCTTCACGCACACGGTTTCAATAGCCTTCAACATGACACGAGCAACCATCTCACCTGCAAACATATTTGTTGACCATTTTGCACCGTACATTACATATTTTCATACTTACAATGTCTGGGGCGGTAAGCTATTAATCCAAGAAAATGTCAACATATTAAATCCAAAAATAACACCCGAAATTCTATATCACAATTCACTACAAGAAATTGAGTGATTTCATAGAAAATGTCAACATATTAAATCCCTAAATAACACCCGAAATTCTATATCACAATTCACTACAATTCACAATTAGTTTGTGTTGGCCGTTACTGTTATTATTATTATTATTTGTACAAATATTTTGTTGTAACATTTTTACACGTACCTAGAGTTTAGATTAGAATAGGAATGATTCTCTCATTAATTTTCTTTCCTTTCTTTTCTCCTTGACTTACGCATGGGAGTACTGGACGTGTAAAGTACTCATGCATGTATCATGTATATATGGACGGATCGTCCCAAACCTTCATTGACAGAATATAGAAAATTCTCTCCACTTTTGTATTAGTTTAATATGGTATCAGAGCATAGATCTGGGACCAACTGATCACACAATCTCTGACGGAAGATGGCCGGCGAAGCTGGACGCACCGGTGAACATGGAGAACGACGGAAAATAAACGATCCGTCTTCCCCATACTAGCTATCTGTCAAGTTCGGACTTTCCTGGACTGCAGATTTCCGCGGTTGTTCTCAAGGGTGAGAGCAACTATCGAGAATGGGCAACAGCTATGAAGAATGCGTTCCGCGCAAAGCGGAAACTGGGATTTCTGGACGGAACCATTAAGCAACCGGTGAACAATGAAAGAGACCTTGAAGACTGGCACACCGTCAATTCCATGGCGGTCGGCTGGATTATGACTTCGGCGGATCCTGCACTTCGGTCAAATCTGGCATATATGGATAGTGTATGCGATTTATGGAAGGACATGGAGGCACGGTTTGCCGTCGGTGACACGATGAGAACTCACGAATTAAAGGAGTTAATTCCGAGTTGTCGTCAACATGGGGAGTCAATCACCTCTTATTTTGGGAGGCTCAAGGGGCTCTGGGATATATGATTATGACGGGCTCAGGAACATACCTCAATGCACTTGCAATGGATGTACTTGTGGACTCAAAAAATTATTTATCAAACATATTGAAACCGAGAAGACACATGATTTTTTGATGGGCCTTGATATCGAGGCTTATGGAACTCTACGTTCTAATGTTCTTAGTGCGGATGAACTGCTGCCCTTGACTAAGGTATATAACATGATGGTACAGGAAGAAAGGTTGAGGAATATGACTCGTGGGCGAGAAGAGAAACAGGATGCCATGGCTCTTGCTGCACGCACTGCACCTGCCAACGGGAAGGATGAACGAGTGAGGTGCTCCTATTGTCAAAAACCTGGACATGATTATGATAACTGCTTCAGGAGAACCGGAAACTATCCGGAATGGTGGCATGAGAATCCGGGTAAGGGCCGTGGAGGAAGAGGCCGTGGAGGGACTAGACGTGGAGGCTCGGGCAGAGGGTCCGGACAAGGAACCGCACATGCTATGCATGTGGGGGAATACCAGGGAGGTGAAGAGTCTGCTCAGGGAACGAAGGAGACAGCCCTTCATGTGCCGGGATTTACAAAAGAGCAATGGCAGACATTCCTCAAACTGATGGAGAACTGTAAGAATGCCCCTGTGGGGGAAAAACTTTCAGGTATGAAACTAGATAGCGAGTGGCTTCTTGACTCCGGGGCCTCATATCACATGACCGGGAATAATGATGTTTTGATGAAGATGGTGCGAATTGCACCGGTGGAGGTGGTACTACCGAACGGTGAACGTACTAAAGCCACTCATGTTGGAAGTGTGGCTCTTAGTACAAGTTTGACTTTATTTAATGTTCTTCTTGTGCATGGATTGAAATGCAACTTGATTTCCTTGGCAAAATTAATTGATAACCGAAAATGCGATGTATTTTTTACTAATGATTTGTGTGTAATACAGGACCTACCTACGAGGAAGACGATTGGAGTGGGTGAACGACGAGGGGGAGTTTATTTTTTCCGGGGGCTGGACCAAGCACGAGCATATGCAGTGGGAAGCTCAGACTCCGGTGATTTGTGGCATTCAAGGTTGGGTCATCCGTCAATAAAAGTACTTCGATCACTTGGTCATTTAAATAAAATGTCATTGAATTCTGTTCAAAATAAAGTTTGTGACGCATGTATGCGAGGCAAGCAAACTCGTGATAGTTTTATTGTTAGTAGTGGTAGAGCTGTTGAACCATTTGAGTTGATACATTGTGACATTTGGGGTCCCTATCGTGTTTTGTCTTCTTGTGGTGCTCGATATTTTTTGACTGTGGTGGATGATTATTCTAGAGCAGTTTGGGTGCATTTAATGTGTGACAAGAGTGAAGTCAAAAATATTCTTAAACAATTCTTAGCCATGACTAATCGACAATTTAATAAAAATGTGAAAGTTGTGAGAAGTGATAATGGCAAAGAGTTTGTTGGTCTCCAAGAATATTTTTTGACTAATGGGATAATTTTTCAAACGAGTTGTGTGTAAACCCCTCAACAAAATGGTAGGGTTGAACGGAAGCACAGACATATTTTGGAAGTGGCTAGAACTCTCCGGTTTCACGCCAACTTACCCATTGATTTTTGGGGTGAGTGTGTGTTAACGGCGAGATATTTAATCAATCAGTTGCCCTCTCCCATAATAGACAATAAAAGTCCTTATGAGTTGCTATATAACAAAATGCCGTCTTATAGCCAAATACGGGTTTTTGGTTGTCTTTGCTAGACTGCTACGCACATGTACCCAATAATGGAGGAGATAAATTCGGACCACAGGGTATACGGTGTGTTTTTTTGGGATACGCTTATTCACAAAAGGGCTGGAAGGTTTACGATTTACAAAACAAGAGACATTTTGTCTCGCGGGATGTAAAATTCGTTGAAAAAGAATTTCCATTTCAATTGGGGGAAACGCCGGTGAATACTAACACACATACAATTGATGACAAGGTAGTGCCTGACACGTGTGAAGGGAGTAACACATGTGATGGACTTGTACGTCATGGCAGAGTAGCAATTTTTGACTCCACACACACGGAGGACAACACCAACATAGAAACGCGGCCTGCTTCTGGAGAGGATATGTCTGGCAGCGGCATGGAGAGTAATCGTGATGGTGACCAAATTCGAAGAAGTGAGCGAACACGCAGGGGTTCCGACGTGGCATCAGGACTATGATGTCCAGTTAAACACGGTTAAAATAAACTCTCCCCCCGTTGCTCCACCAGCTCCCACGGCCGATTCAGGTAATCCTTATTCACTATCTCATTATATAAAATATGATCAATTTTTGGTTCCGCACCGAGCTTTTCTTGCAGCTATTACTCTGACTAAGGAGCCAAATAATTTTGGAGAAGCTGTTCGTGATCCTCAGTGGAGGGAGGCAATGAGTCGTGAGATTCAGGCTCTTGAACGTACAAGTACTTGGGAAATTCGAGACTTGCCACCCGGGAAGAAAGCTATTTATTGCAAGTGGGTGTACAAGATCAAGTACAAAAGTGACGGGTCGGTGGAGCGTTATAAAGCACGACTGGTGGTTTGTGGGAACCGCCAGGTTGAAGGTATAGATTATGGAGAGACATTTGCTCCTGTAGCTAAGATGGTTACGGTGCGCACCATTTTGGCAGTAGCAGCCTCCTGTCATTGGGAGCTACATCAAATGGATGTCGATAATGCCTTTCTTCATGGTGATCTTCGGGAAGAAGTATACATGCACTTGCCGCCGGGGTATTCATCTTCATCACCCGGCAAGGTGTGTCGTTTACTTCGATCTCTATATGGACTTCGACAGGCACCAAGATGTTGGTTTTCTAAACTCACTACTTCCCTACGCAGCTATGGTTTTGCCCAGTCCCATGCGGACTACTCATTGTTCACCAAACGTGACGGTAGTCGAATTTTATGTGTACTCATCTATGTTGATGATTTGTTAATTACAGGCAATGACCGAACCATGATCACGGAATTTAAAACATATCTTGCTTCCACATTTCCAGTTAAGGATTTGGGGATCATGAAATATTTATTCGGGATTGAGGTGGCCATAAATTCCACGGGTATTTTTCTTTGTCAAAGAAAATATGTACTTGACATTTTAACTGAGACAGGATTGTCTGGATGCAAGCCGGTTACATTTCCTATGGTCCAAAACCATCGATTGCAGTCTGATTCTGGTCCGATTTTCTTGACCCAGAACGCTACCGGCGGCTCGTTGGAAAGCTTATTTATTTGACTTTGACCAGACCCGACATTTGTTATTCCGTTCATATTCTCTCCCAATTTATGCAAAATCCCAGAATGGCTCATTGGGCGACGGTACTTCGTGTGCTTAGATATCTTAAAGGGCGTCCAGGACAGGGGATTTTTCTACGGTCTGATTCATCTCTTTCACTCACCGGTTATTGTGATGCTGATTGGGCAAGTTGTCCTGTCACTCGTAGGTCGGTCACAGGATATTTTGTATCTCTCGGTTCCTCTCCAGTGTACTGGAGGACAAAGAAGCAAGCCACAGTGTCTCGGTCATCCGCAGAAGCTGAATACAGGTCCATGGCGTCCCTCACCTGTGAACTTGTCTGGTTACGGAATTTGCTCAATAACCTAGGAGTCCCACACTCTGGTCCGGTCAAACTCTTTTGTGACAATCAGGCCACACTTCATATTGCTTCCAATCCAGTTTATCATGAGCGCACCAAACACATCGAGCTTGATTGCCACTTTATACGAGATCGTATACAAGCCGGTACAATTCTGCCTTCTTATACACCCACAACGGATCAACCTGCAGACTTACTCACTAAGGCCCTTGGAGCACATCAATTTTCCTATCTACTTGGCAAGATGGGCATTTGTGACCCCCATGCTCCATCTTGAGGGGGGTGTTGGCCGTTACTGTTATTATTATTATTATTTGTACAAATATTTTGTTGTAACATTTTTACACGTACCTAGAGTTTAGATTAGAATAGGAATGATTCTCTCATTAATTTTCTTTCCTTTCTTTTCTCCTTGACTTGCGCATGGGAGTACTGGACGTGTAAAGTACTCATGCATCATGCATGTATCATGTATATATGGACGGATCGTCCCAAACCTTCATTGACAGAATATAGAAAATTCTCTCCACCTTTGTATTAGTTTAATAGTTTGCTAACCTTCTTTTTTAAAAGTTAATTTCTTCAATCACTAGTATTCTCACTCGTGCGATGCACGGCCCAAATATCTAAACCAAGGATTATAAATCAAAAAAAGAAATATTGGAAAATTAATAATATCGATAATTAATACCCGTTGAGTATGATAAAAATTAAATGATAGTCATAAGTCATAACATATGCAAACTTGATAGGAGTTGTTTTCTTTCAAACTTGAAAAAGTGTAACCCAAACGCAATTAACGATAGCTCTAGAATTAACACTTGCTAAAGTCATACTCTTCCAAGTAGCAGCACCTTTGCTTCTACATTTCGGAAGCGCATTTTCCCTCTAAATCTTAATATTTCTCTTTCACTCTAGCATCTAAAAATAAAAACATTAAACAACTTAAACATACACTTTGATATATAAATTCAAAAAAGTATAAAAGTATATCCATCAAACCCATAATGAATAAATTGGCCCGTTTGGTATAAAATTATTATTTTATAAATTCAATTTTTATTCCTTACATAAGAAGCCCATTCAAATAATGAAAGAAGGTAGATTCTATGGTACCCGTAAGGTACCATAACTTCGTACACATGGACCAATGAAAATGTAGCAGTTGAATTATTTAACTCTAAATTAAAAATGAGTAAGTGATGTGGTATAATCAAATGAATGGTAGGTACGGTACCCCATATTTTAGAAAGGTACCAGAGTTGTCGGTAGATTCTATGGTACCCATAAGGTACCATACCTTTGTCCACATGGACCAATGAAAATGTAGTAGTTGAATTATTTAAATCTAAATTAAAAATGATAAAGTGGTGTGGTCCAATCAAATGAATAATAGGTACGGTACCCCATATTTTAGAAAGGTACCGGAGTTGTCACCATAAATAAAATGGCTGATATGTCTTTTTTCAAAAATCATTTAACTTCAGATTCATGTACACATTTAGCCTTAGGTTTCAATCCGGTGATCTCCAAACTTCAAATCTTATATAAGGATGTCTTCTCTTAGACTGAAATCTGCTGGTCTGGTCTGATCTAGTCTGGTAAACTAACATCTGGTCGTTGTGTATTTTATAACTACGGAAGTCAAGTCCGATCTGGTCTGATCTGATCTGGTCTGGTCTGATCTAGTCTGGTAAACATCTGGTCGTTGTGTATTTTATAACTACGGAAGTCAAGTCCAATCTGGTCTGATCTGATCTGATCTGGTCTGGGACTGAAAACCGTCCAAAAGAAAACATCCTTAGTTCTCGCCTCTTATCTCAACAATGATTTTTGTTTAATTTGATTCGCAAATCTGTTGCGTTAACGTTTTCGGCAGGTTTTTTATTAAAACAAATGACTACATATAAATACAAATGATTATTAATTATTATTAAATTAAAAATCAAATATAATGATTATCGAAATTTGTTTGAAAAATAATTAAAATATTTTAACTTTTTCCTAAATTACAATTGAAGACATTTATATGTTTTTATACAATCACTCGTTTTATTAAATGGAACCCATACCTCCCATATATGCATTTTATATGAACAATGTTCCAACATTAAAAAGTATAAACATATATCTCTACTTAAACCTCAGAACAACATACACAACCCATAATATTTTCTATGAACAACCAAAAATCTATGAATCGGCATGATCTATCATTATTGTTATTGTGAATACTAAGAGCCCGTTTGGTAGCACGAAAATCGGCTGTTTTGGCTGATTCTGTTGAAATTTATGAAATTCTGGCTGAATTGGCTGTTTTGGCTGTTTTGGCTGATTCTGCTGATTCAAGAAAAAAATATTTTAAAAATATATTTTATTAATAAATTATAGAAAAAATTACATGTAAAAATAGCTAAAATAGTCCTCTACAGTAACTTCAGCCAATACAGCCAGAAAAGTAACTCCAACCTTACTTTTTCTGCTTATTACACAATTCAGCACACAAAAGTAAAAGTTACGTGTTTGGTGAAAAAGCTGGCTGATAAGCCTGATAAGCCGAAAAAAGAGGTCTCCAAACGGGCTCTAAAATTTCCTAATCAACTACATGTCTACATTCATACAAAAAACATTCACTATGTTTCTGCACTTTAATAATAGGAAGAACATTAGAGTAATTATGAGCAATCAGCTAATCTAGTAAAAATTAAATACGTAGATTTAAAATCTCTCACTCGTCCGTACTTTTTAAACTACTACGTATTTCGTATAAGAAAACGAAATAAAATTAATACGTAGTACTTTTCATACAAAGTAGATTATTAGCAATATGCATTCAAATAGAGTTTAAATAGTTGTGTATTCTCTCTATGAAACATGCATTTATCTCCGTGAAACTTGCATGCATGCATATTTCAAATAGGGACATAGGGTTACACTCCGTTTAAAGTAAATCATGTTTGTGACTGTTCCACGGAATGTAATAGCATAATGCATATGTTTTAACTATGATATCTAACATGTAAAAATTGCTGACAATAACACTAACATGATATATGTAGATCCTTCCATGCATTATGCATATGTATACTTTAATATATATCATAAGTAATACTTCGTACAACTGAATGCAAATTACTTCGTATTACTCCGTATAAATAATATAATAAATGCATGATATACCTGTACATATCAATTCCCACATTTCCATCGATTATTTTCTGCCTAAAAATTTCAAATGCCACTGCTCTGCTGAAAAACTCCTACTCTAAAAATTAAAGTTCGGAGTGCCATTGCATGTAATTTTCCTTCACTAAAAGTTTATTAATCATATACTGATGTTGAAACTTTGATATCCCGTGTGAACCCTTGTCCCTGGCAAACTCACCATAAAAGATATCCAAACAAAGTACCCATCAATATTGTGTTACTTACGGCGTTATCACGTTAGTCACGGACGGTAGTCACGAATTTGGTCCGTGACTAAGTAGTCACGGTCCTAGTCATGGTGTAGTCACGGATAGTTTAAAAAAAAAGTAGTCACGGATTAGACCGTGACTATTGTCGAGGCTACACGTAGTCACGGCTAGATCTGTGACTACTTTTCTCCGATAGCCCTGATTCTGCCGCCGGCTAGCCTGTTTTTAATCCGGGGAGGTAGTCACGGACAAATCCGTGACTAAATTCAAACATTTTAAACAAAATTAATTTTGGACGCGCAAAAATAATTCCCCAACGTTATTGTGTACGGAAAACATTAGTCACGGCTAAATCCGTGACTACATCCGTGACTACATTGAATAATATTTATTCCCACAATCCCACGCGTGGATTACACGTCATTTACACGCAATATACACGGGTTGCTTAGTCACGGACATGTCCGTGACTAAGACCGTGACTACATGTTTTATATGTGCAGCAGCAACTCATTCAACAAAACTACACCTATTCATTCTCAGAACATACAGTATCTATTTGAAAGATCGAAAGTAGAAACATGTAGTCTATCATATGTCATTTTCCCGTTTATGCAGATAAGGTATGTTATTTGAATTATTATTTTTTATTTGTGACTAGTTAGTTGAATTTATATTATTAAAACTATTACATTAAATTAGTCATGAAGTTGTTAATTAATTTACAGTATAGTTAGCCAAACCAAGGTTTAAACGTAGTGATGCATTAAGTTAAATTAAGTAAAATTAATTAGTTAAACATAGGTTTTAACTAATTAACTTAGATTCGTTAAACTTTTGATAGTATTAGTTAGATTTAAATATTATCATAATTATCATAATTATTTAGATTTTAATTGTTGATGATGATAATGAACAATTTGATAATGAAGATCCTAATTATTATCATAATGGAGTCCGACGTTGAACGGGCATGTAATCATACATTTATAATTATAACATTTCATGTTACATTTATAAGTTTGTCATAATTTTTATTAAGTTCGTTGTATGTGTGGATGAATTGTGTGTTGTTTAATGCTTCAAATGTATTTATTTGTTTCTGTTAAAATACGTAAATATTTTAATAAATCCGTAATTTATTAAGTTTAAAATTACATTTTAAAGAAAATTTAAAATAACATATTTTCAATAAAGAAAATTTAAAATAAAATATTTAATTTGTTTAAATTAAAATAATATTTTAAATAAATTATATTTTTATTTTAAAATATAAATTAAAATAATATTTAAATATAATTCGCAAAAACATTTTTTTTCAAAAAAACGGATTTTTTTTTAAAATACAAAAACTTTAGTCACGGTTCCAAACCGTGACTAAGATTATTCCGGAATTAATTTTTTTTTTGTTTTTAAAAAAATAGTCACGGATTAATGTCCGTGATTAATTCAAATTTTTGAAAATCAGATCCGCGGTCTTTTGAAAATTTTGAAAATTTGAAAAATTAGTCACGGTTGAGTCCGTGACTAAGATGGCAGGTTTTTTTAAAAAACGGATAATATTAGTCACGGAGATTACCGTGACTAATATTTAAAAATAAAAAATATGATAGTCACGGTCACGGATCGTGACTAACACGTCGGAGAAGGGTTTCCGGCCTATTATTAGTCACGGTTTTGGTCCGTGACTAACCCATGACTAAAGTTAGTCACGGTTTTAGTCACGCCCGTAACGTCACGGATTTAGTCACGGCCTGACTACCTCTATTAGTCACGACAGTTTTGAATTGCGGTTCGTGACTAAATCCGTGACTACGCGCGTGTTTTTTTTTGTAGTGTATAACTCATAACCTCATTGTGAAATATGCATTCCATAGATGCTCTAAATGTACCATGTGCAATAACATTGTACAATCAGGTTAAACGAAATTTACGGTCCGGCTTACGTACTTCTCATAGTGATATCCTTGATTAAACTCCACATGCTAAGCATATTGTTGAATCGAAATAGAAATGGCTAAAACGTACCTGAAAAGGTAAAGAAAACTTGGAAATCTCAAATGCAATTGATACGCG